ATTAGAAAGTATTCAAATCTCCTCTTTATCTACTGTAATCATACTTACTAAATTGGATGTAATGATTTGTTGTATATGGGATCTCATTCCCATGAAGTCAGTATGTGTGGAGGGTTCAGAACAGTACTTTGCTAAAATATGACTTCATTTTCATGCAAACACAAGTCACACTGATGTGTGCCTATCACTGAATAGAAGGTAACAAGATGGAATGAATCAGAATGTAATGTGACTTAATGGAAAGAAGCTATGGAGGCACAAATAATGCCAAAGATACCAGATAATCCTAATAGATGATCAACTTTGTGGTATAGAGGATTAAGACAGCATAGATGTAAATATGTGAACCATGTTTTACTTTCTGCTTATTATATAATAAACTCTAAGGAATAAGTCCTACATTATCATTTTGAGCACATTAGACTATCTGAAGTTGTAATTGTTGTATTCAACAACTCAATGCCTTAGCATTAACTTGCTAATTAATTTGATTCTAAAATACTAAATTATACATTATATGTTTTCTCCAATAATTTACATCAAAACTGAGTGCTATGCTCGTTTTCTTGACAAAGAAGCCCTTGATGTAGACTTTTCAAATACATATTTGTTAATGGTTCATTTTCTCTATCTCCTTCTAAGTTATCACTTTCTCTATCATTTTGTTTAGTAGTGTAAAATGAACAATGGCATGTTTGAGAGTTTTGGCATTTAAATATACTTATCGCTTTATCAGTTATTGGAGACTTCTGATTTCATCACTTCATTCACATTTGGTAGAAGGAAAACGTCACTGAAGAGCAACTGTCATGATTGTAAACCAGATCTATGAACCAGCCGTATTGGCATCAGCTGGGAGTGTATTAGAAATGTAGACTCCCAGGCCCCACTCCAGACCTATGGAATCAGAGCTTGCCTTTTAACAGGATGCCCCCAGCAGGTGATTTGAGTGCACATTAAAGGGTGAGGAACTCTGGAGTAGATGGTTTACTAGTCATTTCTACTTTGGGATTGCTGAAAATACCAGCATCAATGGTGGTGATGAAAATAATGTACAGAAAGTGTCTTCTTTCCTGTCTGCTCCATCCTTGCGTTTCTCTTCTAAATGAAGACACTGCCGTCTCCAGATTGTCTTCTTATGTCTCCAGCTATTCATATTGTCATTTTTTGGGGAAACCTTTCTTAGCTACTGAGAATAAGCATCCCCTGGGCCCCTTGCTTGAGTTGTCTACTCTTACACAGTTGATATTTTATTTGGAGACACATATAGCCAATATGGGACCCTCTGCGTTTTGCATATTTTTGACTGTTAGATCTCTCTACTTGCATCTACATTTAAGATATACTGTCTGTCTCTTAGCCTGTGCTGCGTCTTACCTTTGGCTGCATGTTAGATACACCTGGTAAGATTTAAAATTGATTAATACTATGGCTCCATCCCAGATGAATTAAATTAATCTCTAGGGGTTGGCTCTGGCATCAATATTTAAGTCAGTTTCTGATGTCAGGATCTGAGTGATTCTGTTGTCCAGCCATGTACAAAAGCTACTTAACTACATTAAAACTATTACTCCAGAGCTCCATGACATTCATTCATTCTCTGTCTACCATCCATGCATCCATCAGTCTACCCCACAAGCATTTCATGAGTTTCTGCTGTGTTTTAGATGTTTTCCTAAGTTCCAGGACAGAGTTTTTCAGCCCCAGAACTATTGACATTTTGAGCAGGACATTTCTGTGTGGTGGGATGCTGTCCTGTACATTGTAGGATGCTTGATAGAAACTGTGACCTTTACTTACTTGATGCCAATAGTGTCCCCTGCAGTTATGACAAACAAAAATATTTCCAGATATTGCCAGATGTTCACTAAAGGGCAAAATTTCTCCCAGTTGGGGACTACTGTTTTAGGATGTAAGGTGAGTGGGCCATAATCACTGCTCTGAAAATGTTCACAGTTTATTGATAAAGGCAGGCACTCAGATAATTATAGTAGGGTGGCGTGAGTATAACAACAGCTTCAGGACAAAGTATATAGGTGACACTACAGAGGGAATGATGAATACTGGGGAGATGGGGGGTGGCATTTAAGTTGAGCCTCCAAGGATGAGTGGTCATTCGCTGGGTGGGCAAAAAAGAGAACACTCCATAGACAGGGAGTAGCACTTACGAAGACATGGAGTTGCGGTCTCATCATCTCTCACTCATGCAGGGTCCACTTCTCATCCATTCTACCTCCATCTACATTCTGCTTAATATTTCTTCTCCATGCGTTGGCAATATCACTACACTACTCACTTTGATCTCTGAAACCCCAAGTCATCTGCCCTTAATTATTAGGTTGATTCTTTTTGAATAACAGCTTTATTGAGATATAATTTATACATCTGTATTAGTTTCTTATAGTTGCCACAACAAATTACCATAGCAGAAATTTACTCTCTCACAGTTATGGAGGTCAGAAATCTGAAATCAAGGTGTTACCAAGGCCAACCTCCACCTGTTTCCTTGCTTCCTTGCTTCTTCCAAATTTTTGTGACTGTTGACATTTTTGCTTCTTGGGCCACATTACTCCAGTCTGTTCCTCTGTCTTCACATTGGCTTCCTCTTTGTGTATGCCAATCTCCCTCTACTTTTTTCATATAAAGACCACTTGTTACTGAATTTAGGGTTCATCCTGATAATCCAGGATGATCACTTCATCTTAAGATCCTTATTTAATTTATTTAATTGCAGCTATAAAGACCCTTTTCGCAAGTTCCAGGGATTAGGATATGAACATAACTTTTTTGGGGGATCACTGTTCAACAATTCTATACAATTTATTCAATTCAAAATGTACAATTCAAAGGTTTAGTACATGCTCAGAGTTGTACTTCCATCACTGCTATCAATTTTACATTTTTCTCACCCCAAAAGAAGCACTATTCATTAGTGATCACTGTCTTTTTTCCGTTAACCCCAGGCCTAGGCAACCATTAATTTACTTACTATCTCTACAAACTTGCCTATTCTGAATATTTCATATAAGTGGAATCATATAATTTATGCCTTTTTGTGGCTGACTTCTTATACTTAGCATCATATTTTCAACATTCATCTATGTTGTAGCAAGTATCGGTGTAGTACTCTTTTATTGTTGAATAATATTCCATTGTATGGATTTATCACATTTTATTTATTCATTAATCAGTTGATAGACATTTGGGTTGTTTCTACTTTTTGGCTATTGTATGTAATGCTGACAGGAATATTTGTATGTAAGTTTTTGTGAGGTTGTACGTTTTCATTTCTTTTGGGCATATACCTAGGAGGAGAATTGCCGGGTCTGTGATAACTTTTGAGAAACTGCCAGACTGTTTTCCAAAGCTTCTGCACATTTTTTTTTTTTTTTTTGAGTTGGAGTCTCACTCTGTCGCCCAGACTGGAGTGCAGTGGCTGCTCCCGGTCACCGCAGCCTCGACCTGCTGGGCTCCAGTGATCCGTCCGCCTCAGCCTTCCAAGCAGCCAGAATTACAGGCATGTGCTACCACGCCCGGCTGATTTTTTGATTGATTGTAGAGATGAGGTCTCGCTGCCCAGGCGGGTCTCGAACCCGCAGGCTCAGGCAATCCACTCACCTCAGCCTCCCAAAGGCGCGGGATTACAGGCTGAGCCACCGAGCCCAGCTTTTTTTTTTTTTTTTTAGTTGGAGTCTCACTCTGTCGACCAGGCTGGAGTGCCATGGCACATTCACGGCCACCCCAGCATCGACCTGCTGGGCTCCAGCAATCCTTCTGCCTCAGCCTTTCAAGTAGCCGAAACTACAAGCACGCCACTATGCCTGGCTAATTTTTGATTTATTTATTGTAGATACGAGGTCTCGCCAAGTTGCCTAGGCTGGTCTCAGACCCGCGGGCTCAGACAATCCACTCACCTAGGCCTCCCAAGGTGCTGGGATTACAGGTCGAGCCACTGAGCCTGGCCTATAATTTTTTAAACTTTATTTTATTATAAAGATGTGAGGCCAAGTTAGGATGAGGTACATAAGTAATCTATGTGCAGGTGAAGTTTGGACCTCCCACTGGTCCTCACTTCCCCTTTGTGTTGTTACATGGCTTTCCCTTCTTCCATCCCTGGCAGTGTTCTCCGACTGCCGATCCCTCCCTTGGGCTTTTGTGATTAATATTCAGGTCCCACTAATGAGTGCAAAGTTTCTGCACTATTTTGAATTCCTACCAGCAGTGCATGAGTCTTTCAGATTCTCCCAATTCTCTTTTTTTTGATTCTATTGTCACTTTTACCCTTCCTGATTACCTTCTCAGTAAGGGTAGAATTGTCACAATTTTTTTCTCACCTAAAGAAATTAAAGGCAGCCGGGCTCGGTGGCTCAGCCTGTGATCCCACGCTTTTGGGAGGCTGAGGTGAGTGGATTGCCTGAGCCCGCGGGTTCGAGACCCGCCTGGGCAGCGAGACCTCATCTCTACAATCAATCAAAAAATCAGCCGGGCGTGGTAGCACATGCCTGTAATTCCGGCTACTCGGAAGGCTGAGGCGGAAGGATCGCCGGAGCCCAGCAGGCGAGGCTGCGGTGGCCGGGAGCAGCCACTGCACTCCAGTCTGGGCGACAGAGTGAGACTCCAACTCAATAAAAAAAAAAAAAGAAATTAAAGGCAATCATTTACATGTAACTTTTACTTTTGGGTTCACCCTACTTTACAGAAACTTAGTAGAACGGAAAGTACTAATTTTTATGTCTGTCTCCAAATCCATAATCATCTTAGCTCTTTAAACCCAAAGTGCTCTCCCTGAGATGGAAGTTCAATGAAGGCAGGTACCTTATCTTTTCATTTTTCTTGTAAGCTTTGTATGCCATTTGTGGTGACTGTTCAAAAAATATTAAATGAGAATGTGATTGTTGTCTGACATGTAAAGGATTCAGCATGTTATAGGCTAAATTTTTTTTTTTTAAATTATGCGCATGTTTCTGTTGATCTAATAACTTTGTTGTTTTTATGTGCAGATGAACAGGAGACTACAGATACAACAGAAGAACGTAAAGAAGCATAGGAAAAGACTTGCTGGGTGTGCTTTTAAGAAAGTTGGTAATTAAGTCAAATTACATTTTGTTGAATTCTTTGAATTCAATGAATGCATTGTGGAGACTGATCCACAAATAATGATTTTGACATGTGGATTCTCTCTTTGTGAATTACATTTTCTTGTTATTTTTGACACTTGGGATGGTCTTTTCCATTAAAATTTCTGAGAAAATTGCTTGTAAGTTTATTGCTAATTTGTAGTATCAGGAATAAATGATTAAACCCAACATTTCCGTGTATATGTGTTATGGTAAAACTAGTTGAAATGCTATGATTTTTCTGTATGTGATTTTGTGTTTCAGCTTAATTGTAATTCAGACAGGTTGTGATAACTATGAATTTTTTGCTCTGGCCCTGGTTGGGTCTTCTTACCTGTCTAATGTTTAATGTCTGTTAAATAGGTACAGCTTGCCATAGGAAGAAATGAATTTTAATAAAGCAACATTAGGAGAACCCTTACTAACTTATTAGTGATGATACTTTTCTTTCTTTTTTTTTGAGTTGGAGTCTCACTCGGTCGCCCAGACTGGAGTGCAGTGGCCACTCCCAGCCACCGCAGCCTCGCCTGCTGGGTTCCGGTTATCCTTCCGCCTCAGCCTTCCGAGTAGCTGGAATTACAGGCATGCGCTACCACGCCCGGCTGATTTTTTGATTGATTGTAGAGATGAGATCTCGCTGCCCAGGCGGATCTGGAACCCGCGGGCTCAGGCAATCCACTCACCTCAGCCTCCCAAAGGCGTGGGATTACAGGCTGAGCCACTGAGCCTGGCTGATGATACTTTTTTTGAGCAGAAATTTGAATTATTTGCTATATTATTTTCAATTTGTTATTTTCTTTCAGAGTGTGGGCCTTTTAGAATGCCGCAAATAAAGATGGACTACTTAAAAAAGGTCTGCAGTACTATTTTAAGAGAGGTTTTATGTAGTTACAAGTCAGTAACCTAAATTCATGAGAAAATTCTATGTCAACATTCCATAAGATGAATTGGCATTGGAATTGAAGTCCAATTTATTTCTAATTCAAAAAATGAGCAGGCTATTGTGCTGCCTTTAATATAGTTTTGAGTACTATAATAAAATTTACTGGCATATAATACATTCACTGATAATGAATAACATTAGTGATTGCTTACGTTGAATTTCCTTGACTTTTTAAAATGAGGAATTCAATACCTACCATTTTCAGAGGTATTGATGGGCAGTTTCTTTTTCCAGTACTTCTATTTCAGTTTACTGTTTGTTCATTTAAAATAGCAATGGTTCATGCTGCATATAATGGTGCACAGCCATTTGCTGCACATCTACCCCTTGATCAAACTGTTCCTGTAGCCCTTCCCTACTGCCACTCAGCCAAGCATGCACCCTTCAAGGCTTAATTCAGATGTAAACTCCTCCATGAAACACGAGTGACCCTTTCAGCTGGGAACTGTCAACATCCTCTCCTCAGTTCTGCATCTCAGTACACTGGCACATAAATCCTATTAGAACCTTTAAAAAATAGCAATGGTTCATGCTGATGTTAATGTGCAATAATATGATTTAATGTCAAGAGTTTTTCTGTGAGATGGCAGCAGAAGCTAAAAGTTATGAATTTAAATTCTCATAGAAATGACATGGTACTTCTGTGTCTTGTAGATGTGGGTGGGAACTATCAGAGGGCAGAGGTGATAATGGTGGGGATTTAGAGTGGGACAAGAGAGAGGTCATTGTTGTCCATTAGTCTTTCAGAGGAGCTCGGCTTTCTAAATCCATGCTTTCCTGCTATTTGATGAGTGTGTGTGCATGTGTGAAAGAGAGAAAGAAAAAGAGAGACAGAAAGAAAAAGAGCGCAAGAAGGCAAAGGAGAGAGAGGAGAGATAGGAGAGAGACAAATTTTTTTTTGACTGGCATTGCAAAGGGCTTAAGACCTCATAGTGTGCTTTTACAAATGGTATTTGTAGCATACTGAGTGAGCCTTTCTGCTATTTAGGTAAGAGGAAGGAAAACAGAATGATTTTAAGTAATCAATTTTTTCCATTAAAAGATGTGACACTATTCCACAGTATGTCAACTGAAGGTAACTCCAATAAGGACTGGCAAACTAAATTTATGATATAATTAAACACAAAGTTTCCAGATTTTTAAAGAGTCACTCTAATTTAGAGAGGAAGTATTCTTATTACATAAGTGCTTTTATTTTGAGGTTCCCTTTAGCCTTGGTGTTTGCTCCAGAAAAATATACAGAATCAAAATTGTAGGAGAGAGAGAGCTAATTCATTTTAGGAATGAACGTAGGAGCTTAAAATTTGAGGTTTCTTATAAGGAAAAAACAAACAAAAAACCCAAAAAACTACAGGGCACCACCTTTATCATAAATTCTCATAGGACCTAAAGTTTATTACTCTTCAATCTAACTCTCCTGCAACACATGACAATAAACTCTTGAAGGAGGAAAGAAGCTATTATCTCGATGTAATCTTAATTTTTAACAAGTCTTTTATTTCAATATAACCTGCTGATTTAAAGGTCAGTCTCAGGGTGAAAATGGAACATGCCTGGGAAAACCGCTCCTGTTTCCAGCCACATTTTTTTGGCTCATCTTAGTATTTCCAATCAGTTTTGCTCCCTACCTAAAAATGAATTAGAGTTCTCTCTTAGGGCTTCACATATTGAACTTCACATACTGAACTTAACATCTTAGGCTATTTCTCTTTTATATGTTTTTAATGTGACATGCTAATTATAATGAGAATGATGTTAATTTTACAGCCATTACTAACACTTTCTAGCTCTTGCTTCTTCACATTGGTACTATAAATTGGTTAGGCAATTTTTACATTTATATGTGATCATGCTACCCAGATAGATAAGTGTTTATAGAATGAGGGACAGAAATCAACCAGGGAGCAAGACCCTATTTCACTCAGCAAGTCCTTTCTAGTGTTTAACAGGCCTCAAAGTCAGACCTCTAACCTACTCATGAAATTTCTTTTATTCCGTTTTCATTAAAACTGGAAATTAATCAGTCGTATTCCACATTCATGATTAGCCCATTCAAAAATCAAGGTCTGCTTATTGTAATACTTGGGCCTTTCCTCACAAAGTAATGGACACACACATATACTTTCCTTTCAAATTTAAAATTTCTCTTTAGTCATCTATTTCCGGCCTAAAGTTGTTCATTCTCTAAAACGTGAGCTCTACAATGCTTGGCTCAGCCTTTCAAGGAGGCCTCAAGTACAATTTACTTCCAAAGCTTCTCTACGATGTGCTGTCATGTTGGCCACCCTGTGCCATGGATCAGAAAATGTAGCTGCAGGAATGCGTGTGCTTCACAGCTGTTTTCCCTTTGTTTTCATTAGTTTTTTTTAGAAGCAGTTTTTAAAAGAAGGATTCCATAAGTGACATCTAATAACATTAACAAAATATGAAATTCTGTTCTTTGGGGCCCTTGACTTAGGGGTCATTTCTCTTTCATATGTTTTTAATATGGCATGCTAATTTGAAATTTTGTTCTTTTATTCCACAAACCCAGCAAATTTTAAGCCCAGGCCTGTGCAACTAACTCAGTCTTTCTAAATTATATAGAAACTGTGTCAATTATTGGTTTAAGAATGGTATTTACCCATACCTCATAACATAAAGCAAGTAGAGAACAAATAAACGTGGATACATTAAGTATAAATATAAATTTCCGTATGATTTATTGTTGTTCCTTGGATATAAGAAACAGTAATATACAACTTACACTGCTTAAGATTGTAAAATGGATAAAAATGTGTACAAAAAAAAGCACATTCCTAGAAAAAGGTATTGGCAAATAGTAAAAACTGGGGAATAAAAAGCAAAAAACAAATCAAAACAACAAAAAAAGGAGAAAAACCAACAATTCTTCAATTCAGTGTGCAAACATTATATAAAAATAGAAATACTAACTCTACAGGCAGTATTTCCTGATAAATTATTTAAATAGCATATCTACACAATCTGAGATATCTATTCCAATGGCAATGAGAAAATAATTTATAAAAATAAAGCAACAGTATACAGATGATAGAAAAAAAAACATAACTTTCAGAAACCTTATTTAACATTTCAATGCTATTTCCTTATTGGGAATACTTTTCTGCAAAGAGTTTTTATACTATGTACAACATTGACGATTTTAGGTACTACAGTAGCTTTAAGTTTGTTAGACACCTAAACTCTTTCTGCTTGATCCAAAAATTCTTTACTCAGTCACACAACAAATGAGGTAATATTTGTATATAAGTTTCACCTTTGTCATTATTTTTTTCTCTTTTGGAAAAACAAAAACAAAAAAAAAGTGTATGTGTTTTCCTTCTCCCTGGAAATAGGCACAAGGAATGCGTAAAATAGTATTAAAAGCCTTCTGGCTTCCTTTGAAATCGAAAACACTTGCAAATGGATAACCAATTCCACTTGAAAAGATAAAACAAAGGGGAAAAAAGAATCCCAAAACATTCACTCTGAGCACAAGGGGAAGAACAGCTTGTTATGCCGATTTTCCTTGTGTCACCCTTGTGAGAGATTTGCTGAAAAATCTCAACTACCTGCTGTCAAACACTTTCCACGTGAAACCTAAATTCCAGGCAGAACAGAGTTAATAAATAATCTGTATTTACAATCTTACAGTCATGAAGACTCCTAACAAAGATGATATGGATAGTCCTTACGCTTCTTCCTGCTCCATGAATAATCCTTCAGCCAGATCTTCCAGAATAAGTCAAAATAAATATTTTATATTGTAAAGCATTTGTAAAAAGAAAAAAAAAAAAATCTACAGTCCAAAAGAGAGAACTGGAAAACTCCATGATTATTCAGGAAAAAAGAGAAAAGGAATGTTTTAGTTAGGATGATAATAATTTTGTGCCTTTCTAACCATAAAAATACAAGCACACTGCCCCTCCCTGGGAGGCAGCTGGTGCTCACTGAGATGGTAGGTCTTCCTATTTTCCTGCTACATCTGCACAAGCTACATCTGGAATAAAACGAACAATTTCAAGGTGACCAGGCAATGGCAGCCAGCACTGCCTTACATTGGTTTAATTCTGACCCCCCTATTCTTGCCACTATAGGTGATATGGGGTTGGGGACCAGGGAGGAAGTCCAGAAGCCAGTCTTTCCCTCCCCCTTCCCTGCTTCTATTTAAGTGTCTATTTACGTGGGTTAATCAGCTAACACCGGTCAGCATCATGAAATCCAGCAACAGTCTTTCAATCCCCTG